GAAGGAAAGAAGTAGAAATAGAGATGGACAGCAATAACTCAAACCGGGACTGATTAAATTTCACATATGCGCATGTAGTTTTGGTTCAAACCCTTCCACCCTTTTCCTCTCACTTCTTTGATAGGAACAAATGTCTTATGTTTGCTTGACATTGTAGAGGAGAGGATGAATAGACATAATTTTCTTTGCTTTACTAATATTTATGTTTCGCTTGGTTTTTATTTTTTATCTCACCTGGCAAAGTCAAAGAGGTGTGTTCCATTGCTAAAGAAGCCCATTACCCCAAGTGCTGTTCAGTCTCATTGCATTCTGCAAATCATTGATTGCCCTGACTCCATGCTCTGATATTTCTCAGCATATTTTGTAGTTGCTTCGAGTCCACCAGTTTGTTTCCTCAGCGCACTAAGAGCCCAATGCTTTGAAATAAGAAGGACTTTGAGTGTGCGGTTTTGCCAAGGAAACTGGGTCTTTCGTTTCTTTGGAAGCAGAGTCAGGTGTGCCTTTGATTTTGGCGAGTCTAGACCTGCCTTTATCTGCACAGCACCGGGCTGTAAATGTGAAGGTTTCTCCCAGGTATTTGAAGCAGCATTTCAGGCATACGTAGTAACTTAATTGATCACCAATCAAAGCAAGAATCATCAAGTGGCTAGAAGCCAACGGCAAATAGCTTTGAATTATACCGGTCCCTGGCTTCTGCGCAAACTTTGCAGTAGAGTTCTCACTTGGACTTACTGGATTTCATTTTGCCTACTTATTGAAAATGTGAGAATTGGCTTTTCTAGACCCTCGATGCGCTTAAGTGACCACTTTCCCCTGAATGGCGTATCCACAAAAGTTTTGCAGAGAGGCAGAGCTGTTCAGCGATTTGGGAGTGTGATTCGTGTGTCTAGTGCATGCTGTCCCAGTGCGACTGCCGTGTTCCTGTTGTGTCTGTCTGTCCATGCTTAGTTGCTTAGGGAGCCCGTGTGGTGAATAACACCACTGGCCCACTCTGCTGACCCGCTCTGTCTCAGCCCCAGTGTTGACTCCCGTACTTTTGGTAAAAGATGAACTTCAGGTGCATACAGTGTCAGCAGAGTTCTTAAAATGTTTGCAAACTCAAAAAGAAAAACGTTAACACCTGATTAAAGAGATCCGTTGCTCTTTGGGTGGTCAGACTACTCTCCAATCTGAGCTTCACTGGAATCTTGGATTTCTGAATGGGGTTTTGCTGGTAGTGATTACTTCTCCCCTGGTGTTCAAATCAAGCAGTAAATTCCAGTCTCAGACAGCAGGTATGTCAAAGGTTAGGATGTGATTTGTTGGCTGAAAACTCTGAAAGGTTATTTTTGCTTTTAAAACAGATGTGGAGGGGAGTGGATGTGCATTTTGTTTTGTATTGCTGCAACTACTACACAAGCTAGGGTCGGTCGGTCGGTCTGTCCGTCTGTCTGTCTTTAAACGAAAGCTGGAATCTGGTAGTCATGGGTAATCCCGGATGGTGCAAGTACTCTTCCTGTGTGTATCCATTGATGGGAGTTTGTTCCATTGACTGCAGTATCCCAAAAATCCTTCCATGAAAGTAAAAGTATTTTGCAGTTCGCAAACTCATCTAAGCTGATTAATTTGTTTACTCTTCCACATTAAAGGATGTTTCTTGTCTGTCTAGCCTTTGAAAACATTTGCCCTTCAGCTGCAGTTGCCAGTCAAAAATATTGACCTCCTTGGGGCTGGGAGATGGTGGCTGAATATGGAAAGCATTCTCTTTGCTGGAAGAGAAGATGCAGATTTCAGTAGCTTAAAGCCTCAAGTGGGTTGGAGGGGGAACCTTTGATCTTTGTTCTACATCTAGAGAGGAAGACGGAATTGATGCGTAGAGTAAAGCCTGTTGTAATAAGTTTGGGTTTTCTTAAGTAGGATTTTGCACAAAGTGGGGACTGACGAAAAGGGAATCCTCAAAGCTGCACAATATTAAACCCTGAACACAAAACAAAACAAAAACAAAAACACAAAAAATCTTCACCCTACCAAGGGACCTTGAAACTTGCCATACTTGGACCTGCTGTGGGCTGTTATGTCAATAGGAGTAGGCCGTCTGGTCTTCCAGGTATTATGCATAACAGCTCCCAAGAACTTTAGGCCCCTTGCCTGGCACACATGGACGTTGTAGTCCGAACATCTGGAAGGCACCAGTTTGCCAAACAGCTTGATAGCATGCTAAAGCATAGCAAAGCTATTGTGGAGTGAAGGTCTGTGGGACAAAGCTCATATCAGTAGACATGTTGTCTTCTCAGTTATCAGATATGTTGTTGTAGGCGAAGGGCACCACCTGTTCTGTGTGTAATTGTGCCTGCTCGACTTGTCCTTTCTGTAGATTTGGCTGAACAAAGCAGAAAACCTCCGTGGTTTGCTCAGACCTGGTTCCAATCTGAAATAGCCTGGTTTGTTCCTCCTAACTGAACCGGGAGTCTGAGGCCAAGAACAAACCATGATTTCAGATTCTGCTGCTGGGAGAACAATAAGCCAGGAATCCTGGTTTGAACATAGTGCTGAAGGTGGTCTGCTTTGTGTCAGTGCTTGCACAAGAGGGAGCCCAATGTTGCTTGCTGTCCACAAGTGAGAATTCACATTCTCACACACGAATGCTGGCTTATGAGTGAACTGGTTGTGTGTACATATAAATCCACAAGCCAGTAGGGGGGATAAAATGCCTGGAAGGACTGGAGCTGAACCCCACTGGGTGCCTTTGACTCTTTCTCAGCCCTAACATTCAGGGCCATTGCAGAGATAAAACAGGAGGGGACACTGCCTTGAACTAGTTGGAGGAAAGGCAGGCTCTAAGCATCCGTTACTATATTACTCTACAAGGTGGAGGTAGAACGTCCAGTGGTAATGGAGATCGGTCGTTCTAGTGCCAGGCAATCTGTCGAAAAGGCAGTCAAAGTGAGAGCTACCCTGGCAGAGCAACACAAATACAGCCACGAACTAACCGCTCTGTTCATCCCAGACCTCATAACGTTTGCGTTAAATCTGCAAATGGATGCAGTATGGTAAGCCAGATGCAAAAGAGAAAGGTTATTGCACTTCAATAGCTGCAAAAATAAATATTGTGACTATTATTGTAACAGGGAGAAAGTCAGCAGGTGTCATTTGCACCTGGCCAGCCTAAGATGCAGGTATGTTGTATGTAGGTACTTTTTTGGCCTCTTTGTAGCAGATGCAACCCGTGCAGTGGACTGAGCACCTCTGAGTAGCAGGATGTTCCCTCCATGATTATTAATTAATTAATTGCATTTATATACCACCCTGGTAGCCCAGGGGGCTCTCTGGGTGGTTTACAGACATTAAAACCTACCAATCCTAAACAAATAAATAGACTATACCACGACAGTATAAAATAACCTCATTAAAATGAATTAAATAAATAAATATAGCATTGCAATTAACTAACTTTAAAATATCGGTTAAATAAAAAGGTCTTGTCCTGGCGCCGAAAAGCATATAATGACGGTGCCAGGCGGACCTCTCTGGGGAGCATGCTGCGTCACTGGATCTGTTGGTCACAAAGGGTGGTTGTCCTGCGCTCGCTTCTTATTGCAGACACCGCAGACGCTTTGAACATCCTTCAGAAAACGTGTTTGCTCTATTTCATAAAAAGTAGTTCTTGTAAAATATTAGGATCGGGTTCTCCACCAGAATGGGGGCTGTTTAAGGATCTGCTGTCAAAAAAACACTTTTTGCACTTTAAGGGTGCAGTCTTTTGGAGGTGGTGGCATTGGATCTTTGGTACCCCAGTCCTCTGACCTCGGAGCTTGCATTCCAACGGCCAGTCCCCCTGCCCTGTGCTGTGTGCAGCTTGCACAGCAACAACCACAAGGGCTGCTTCTTGAAGAGTGGAAATGCGCCTTGGAGATGTGGAAAAGGTACTTCAGAAGCTGTCACAGAGAGGAACGTCAAGATCTCCTTGATTCCAGAGTGCAGGACATGGAACAACGGACAAAGGTGAAAAGAAACCGGATCTGGACTAGATACCAGGAAGAATTTCCTGACTGTCAGAGCAGTGCAACAATGACACCTGGGAAGGTTGTGGGCTCTCCTTCACCAGGGACATCCAAAAACGTGTCTGGACAGTCATCTGGATGGGGATTGAGTAATTTAGTGTCCTGTAGCAGGTTGGATCTGGTGGACTTCTGGCCCCTTCCAACTCTACTCTCCTGTGATTCCATGAGCTGCATGCAAGTTGGGTTTGTCTACCTACCAGCTTCCCAGTTTCCGTTCTTCCTCCTCCTCCTCCTCCTCGGTGCTTTATCTCAGTACCCTAATACCGAGGCTTATAAGCATCTAGGGTGGAGCTTGCGTCCCGACCAAGTTAAGTTGGATCCTCTTCCTGTGTTAAGCATCATCTTTTCCCTCTCCTGCTCTTAAAGAGCGGCGAATCCCTGTTGTCATAGAAACTGCAGCTGATTGAACCATCCAAATTTAGACGGAGCTTTTAAAATGTATACATATATTATACACTAGACACCCCGGTTCATGTCACCCCCCAAGAAGAATATTTCTAATATTTCTCTCACCACTGGTAGAGTTGTGGGTCGCCCAAGCCTGGTGCATTTTCATTTACATCTGGAGCTCAAACAACCTAATTAGGTATAAAACAGAGCATGTGGCTTTCTTTCCCTCACCCTCTTCTCCTCCTTCCTTTTGAGGAATTTAAAGTGGATGAATATCACTTGAGTATATTTTATTTCTCAGTAATCTTCTCTTTCAATCTTTGGAGAAAGCAGCCTTTGTTTAAAGCAACAACAGCAACTCGATTTGTGCTTCTTAAAAACAGGCATGGCCTTGGCTGTGGAGCGGTTGCAGACCCAGGCCCTGGCCTACGCAAGTCTTTTCATTTCCCCTCGGTTTTGCATGTGCAACGTGTAGCCACGAATACCATATCTCCTTTACCTTCATTCACTTCCTCTTTCTCGGACGAGCAATGCGCTCGCTGGGCCTCGGGAGGCATATTGTAAGACAGCTCCACCGAGCATGCTCCCGAGCACCCCTTGTGGGGTGAGAACGCATGGAGAGTGGAAGCTAGGCCTGCCTGAAGGCCCTGATGAGACTCTCCAAAGCCAGCGCAGACAAGACTGGAGGTATGTGTATTTTCAAGTTTGCTTTCAGGGGCTCTCGCTGCAGAGTCTTCTCCCCATGGAGGTTGCTCCTGGCTCATGTTTGCGAGGTGAAATGCTTTGCTAAATCGAAACAGAAAGGCAGTGCTGTGTCAGATCCTTGCATCTGTTTAGGGATTCTCTCGTCGCATGGAACCTTCCCATTTATGCGGCCTGGAGCGGCCATCTCTGAGTGGATGCATTTTGAAACGTTATGCCTCGTTGCAGGGCAGGCTAAGCCAAGGTGGAGTGCTGTCACTACATCGGCTTGTATTCTCCCCCCTCCCACTTCCTTTTCTCTTCTTGTTCCATGCCCTTCTCTGCCTGGACACCCCCAACAAAATCAGCCTTTAAAAATGTGATAGGCATTCCTTTGGAAAGCCCTGGAATGTTGCTTCCAGTTGCATAGGATAGGCGTAATAACAGATGTGATTAAATTAGAATGGGGATTTTGTGGCATGGAGTTTGCAGATCCGCCTTAGCTTTTGCACGTTGAGAGTTTTCTCACCCAATCAGAGATGTGAAGGCTTGCAGGGGTGGCAGAAAAATTGGGTGAACATTTTTTTTCTTCCTGTGATAATCTCTAAAGCCTTTAGCTGGAAAAATTAGGAGAGGAAAGCAAAAACAAAACCCACCTTTCTTAACAATGGCTCCTAGTAATTCTGGGAGGGTGCAAACCAGTCTGGAGACCCTCTGCCCCACTGAGTTAGGAGATCTTGCCACAAGTGGGAGTGCTTTTCTGACCTCATAGCTTGGTTGTTAAAAAACAAAAAAACAAAACCCATGGCTTTTTAAACTCTGTCTCTCTGCCATAGGGTTGTCTAGGAAGGCATTGTGATGTAAATCTTCCAGAAGTTTTGAAGCCATGGAAATTTTCCCTCTTGCCTCAGCCTTTTTTGCCCCAAAAGATTTTTTGGGGGAAAAAATGGAATATGTGCATTAGTAACTTTCTTAGCTGTTTTAAATGCGTTTTGCTAAATTAAGTACATAAAATGTGTTAAGTTAGCACATCAAATACTGTTGTCGTTATTGCTGCTTGTTCAGTTTGGAAGTATAAATACCTTTATGCAATTATTGTTTGTTCAATAGCGTAATTATCCCAACAATAATTGCATTTCTGTCCAAAGTTAAAGTGCAGGCCACAGGTTTTGCTTTGATATCCTGGGTTGTTCCAGCTTGAAGGAAATGAGAACTATGGGTAACGAGAGGTTTCCTCGTGGGCCCTGAGGAGCTGTGTACATGAGCCAAAAGTCAACTGTCCAATGAATTTCCAACTTGTTTAGAAACAGAGAAAAGCAATGCTTGTCTGTTTGCCTCTAGCCTGTTGACATTAGAGAAGTAACTGTTTCTAACCTCTAATAATAAATAAATTGCTGTGTTGATTGTTTCTGTTTTAAACAAGTGGTAAAGTTTGAAAAGCTTTGCATATACTGGAATTCCAACCCGTCTCCAGCCTATTTCCATTTATTTCTGCATGTGCATGCTGTGTGGGGGTGGGGGTTATTCTAATATGGAATTTTATCTATCCATGTATGCAGCGCGTCGTTTAAAGGGGTGGACGATGGGGCTGGTACATAGAGTAGCACGGGCTGTTTTATTTTCCATGGAAAGTTCTCAGCAGACCTGGGAAACGGTTCCCTTTATGCTTAAACAGAATAATGGGGCTCATGTGATGAGGGTACAGAATGTCATTTAAAGGAATTACTTTTGTAGAAGGGAACAGTACACCTAAAATGAAAGCACACAACCGTTGTGCGAGGCAGAAGCGTCTAGATGTGGGTGGCAGCCCTCCAGATGGGTTGACTGCAGTTTCCACCATTCTCAGGCCTGCTCTGCGGTGGTTCGCAGATGACCTAGGCTGGAGGAGTCCATGCAGAACTGAGCTGCGTTGCCACTAAACCACTCTCCCTTTGCAGAGTTTACAGTTGATAGCATCTCGCTCATGCTTAAAATGGATGCTCTCTTAGGCTTACAGGCCCAGGTGAGATGAGAACTTCACTTTTTGTGCTCCTCTATTTGGAGGTTACATGCACGAAACAGAGAATTAAAAAAAGTTTACCAACACATTGTGATCTGGCCTAGGTGAATGGCTGGACTTTACTGTGTTGGTGGCCACTTTTGGGGCTTGTGATACTGGTGTTAATACTACCACAAGATTATTCCCATGTGTGATGGTGTCTGTGGTCACTTCTTGCCTACAGGGGGTTAGACAACCTGAGTGCTAGCTGAGGAGAGGGTCTGTATTCCAAAACCAGTCTGCATATTGGACCTCAGAAGCACAGCAAATTTCAGCGGAAGCCTGCAACTCTGTGTGTGGTTAAACTGAACTTAATGGGAATTGTGACTGAGCAGGGCTACATAAGGTTGTTCTGTTGATCCTATTCCCTTGGACCGAAAAAGAAAGAAAAAAAGCTTTCTTTTCTTCAACCCTGGACTCAGCACTTGGTTTCCCCATGTAGCTGTTCTGCTTCCTCTTCTCCCAGGGGAGGACCTTCCTGGGAACCTGCTGTATCCATGTAGGGGTGTATGTGTGTGAGAGAGAGGTGCGGGGGGGGAGAAGGGTTACCTAAGGGAGAGAAAAGGGGCAAGGTTAACAGCTGGGAGGAAGGCAACATAGTGATATAAAGGGGCGATAGAAAGACTTAACACACGTGGCATAGCCACTAGCCCTGATTGTTATCAACAGTTGTCTGTCCTGTTGCTTGAATCCAGTTGTGGCAATTTAGCATTGGGACTTACTGTGGTGGAGAGCTGTGATAAGAAACCATGGTTTGTTCCAGGGTTTCTCCGAACTACAATGGCTTGTTTGGATGACTCAACCCATCACAGGGAAGGCCGTTGATGCTCTTGCTAAGCAGCTACCCAGATACAAGTCCTCACGACTGTCATAATTTGGTACGTCTGTCATATTTTGGTAGATCCGTCAGAGCCCTCCTTCCTGCCTGTGGAGCCTGGTATCTTAAGTAAACGATCTGCCTGTTGCAACTAAATGACAGCTGGATAAATGCTTTTTAGACTTCAGATAGAAAGTCAGTAGGCAGCAGACTCAAATATGTTTCAATTTCCCTGAAGGATTTTCTTAGTAATTCTCAAAGGCCCCCTGATGGTGGTACTTGAAGGCTGGAACCCTCCTAGAGCTGAAAGCCAGATGCACTCTCCCCAGTTCTGGTAAGAGTGGTGAGTTTGCTTTGCCTTTTGGATAGCATATTTTCCCTTCGGAAGCTTTGGCTCAAGATGGCGACCGTAATGCTGAGGGTTGTATTGATGTTCCCTGGACCTCCCAGGTATGTACACCTATTAAGTGCGTACAGGCAGTTGTATACCCTGTTCTAACAGAATCAGAAAGAAGTTTTTTTTTTACCTCCAGCTTCCTGGGCCATGGAAACTCCCAAGTGCTTTGCTTTGTACTCCTTTAAACAGCATCACAGTTGACTTCATTTTTTCCCCAAGGTGTGTCCGGGTTTTTCTGCATACCGCTGTAGTGGCATACCGTAGTGGGGAAATGGGAACCAGCTTGTGATGTAGTGGCGTTGGCGGAGAAGAGGTGTGTTTTTATCTCTCTGAATGATTAGAAGAACACAGCAGTAGCCTGGTTGTGTGATAGCTAATACACAAATCATACAAGGGCACGCCTGCAAGAGATTGGATCCTTCATTCCTCTTGGAGTCTGACGTTTCCTTGAGGTTTCAGGCAAACTAGTTAAAAAGAAATTCCCCAAATAATAGGGGTGGAAGACCGCAGGTCCATGGGCAAACCTGGCCACCTGCAGTCCCAAACTTGCTCTCCAGGTTTCTCTAGACAGCCTCACCCTGCTTTCCCCGACCACCAAGTGTTTGTGGGTTTCCTGGCTTTTGTGCTGTTTTTTTTCAGTCCTAAAAGATTGAGATGCCTTTGCTAAGGTTTAATTATGGGCCTGTTAAAGAACTTGAAGCTACAACTTCTCCCCCCCCCCCCCCCCCCCCCCCCCCGCCCCTTTCCCTTGTTGTTTTGGCTTCTCTCTCTTGCCATTTGAATGTGGTCTGATCCAAAATGGAATTTGTCTTTTGGGCTGCAAGGTCTCTACCGTAATCATAACAGAAGGTGGATATTTAAGAAATGACGAGCCAAACCTGGATGGATTTCACCTCTCTTTTGTGGTGCTTATCCGAAGCCAGTTTCTATTGAGATTAGTGTATGCAAAGTATGGACAGATATGAGGTTTATTACTTATATAGTTTTTTTTTTTTTTACTGCAAGAGGTATACAGTCTAAAACAATAGGAAAGAACAGGAAGGGGCACATGATGTGGGAATCGATTATGCTTTTGGTTAATTTTTTCTCGCATATCATGAATTGGGAAGGGTCCAGCTTAGCGAACTAGTTAAGGTGCTTTACACCATGTAAGCTACCAGCTACAGGGCCTTTTACCTTTCTTTCTATATCGTACTTTTTACATAACATTATGGAAAGACTGTGTTTCTACCATAACAGTATGAAAAGACCTGGACATCAGTTTTTTGATCTGCAAATATTTCTTGTTGGTTTTATGCCAGCAAAGGAACGCCAAAACCATCTCCCAGTATAATAATGTGCGTTGGCAAAGCTTGTGCACTAAGGGGGACCGGGTCTGCTTATTTTTTAATCTCAAAACCTCGCACTGTTTCTCTGCTTTGTTCTGTTGTGTGGTTGCATTGAGCTCATTCTAGTTAATCTCTTTCATAAGGACCTTTTTTTTGCAAACTAGCAAGATGTCTGAAATGTTTGTGTTTTTTGCTTGGGTTAGTAGCAAGATTTCCACTGGAGAAACGCACGCATGGGTTTTAAAACATTTATGCAAGGAATGGCAGGGTTACCTGGTTTTAGGGTTTGCAGCTTGATTCCAGTATGCTGGCACTCATGATTATATAATATTTGACTTGACTAAAAGCGAGTCACCTCTAGCTTTCATATACAAGTCAAAGTTGCAAGATGTTCCACCCAGGAGCTACAACTGTAACTTTATTGAT